TTACCATTGCTAACTCTGAGAGACGAGACAGTCCAAGTAACTTCAAAACAATGCTGATTTATTCCATGAGCACAGGTAAAAATTAACATTACACGCTCAGGTATCTTGCACCTCCATCCTGCACGCAGGCAGATGTAAGATGAAAGACCCTGAGCCCACCAGGCCTATACATTATATCACCTCGGTTGGGCTAGCCCCATACTACACAGAAACGTCAACCGAGACGTCTCTGTTGCCAGCTCTGCAGCTGGCCATAGCAGTAGTCAAAACATGAAGCAAATCAATGTGCGTGTGTGTGTCTGTTGATTAAGTGGTGTGTATCTAAAAACATTCTCACACAACCTCTAGTACATGTGACCTAAACATAAGAACATATTATGGCTAAGGCTACAGTTATACACGTCGTAATAATAATATTAAACACCCTGTCTGCTGACAGTCATCAACTCTTCTCTCTAGTTATCCTTGACCAGATGTACCCTGTAGAAACTCATAAGCATGCCTAAGCATTTAACAGTCTAACTATACATCCTATCTCCACTAAACATTTCTAATACATAAAGTATCTATCCAATTTCTATCTGACTAAAAATACCTAACACCTTCTTCCTCTCTTCCCACTGCCTTCTCTTCACTATGAGTCTATCCGCCACCCACCCTCCCAGTGCAGGCGTCTGACATATTTTGCTGTCAATTTGCTAATTCGTAAAGAAGCAAACAAGTGAGAAGCTCACCGGTGCAACGTTATACGCCAGCAGCACATGCTTCAGGTCAGGAGACACCTCATACTTGCTGGCTTTGTACATTTCCTGAAAAGCAAAGTGCAAACATGAGAAGAAAAAGGTAAACTGATGAGAACACGCATGGTATTTATTTCATTAAACTAGTCCTTAAATGACTACGCTTCATGGAGTGCTAGGCTCCTAAAGCAAATGGGAGCTGCATTAATCCCGTTAGTAATCTTGGTTTAGTGATTTGATAGTGGACTTAATATTGTGTCCACTGCAGCACTGACACTACATCCTCACATACCAAAACCCCAAGAGTTAACTTTCATAATAATAATGGATCATTTTATTATGCTTTAAAATAAAACCAGAGCTTTGGGTGTTTTGATTTGCTGACACTATATTAAAAGTTTTAATTTAATTCACAGGCAGCCATGGTCAGCTCTTTAATACCGTGGCTGTGAGAAAATGCTTTACGACTAAGGGAAGATGGTAGAAGACTTACAAATTTCTTGTTATGCACCAAGATGGTCTTTTCATCAGTGTCAACATTGAACTTGATGACATCACCCCCACGATTACGGTACAATAGCTCATTATCTGCATGGTGAGAGAGAGAGAGAAAGAAAAACATTATTTTCAGAAATGTATTATATTCTATAAAATGTGGTGAAAGTAGCTAACATAGTCTTCATAAAAACCAAACAAACCAAAAAGAATCCAGCAAATTCACAGAGATGATGATGATGATACAGAAAGCCTCAACCACAGGACATGCAAACATCAGAGAAATGTGGAACACAGAAATCTCTCATCTGACTAAAATGTTGAACTTGACCAGATTATGATGTGTTTAGGGAGGACCTCATTACTTGGGTAAGATGATAAAAGGCTAAATCAGTTTGCAGGGCCTTTAATGCACTTTTTACACAATATCCAGTTCCCAAAATAATCATCCTCAAGTCATTTTTGAAGAGAACTTTTCACCTTTCAACTAAGTTTAACAAAAGCATCCTAGAATCAGAGTTAAGGTACAATACGTCTGAATACAAAAGCTTCCGGTGCAAACACCGAGTTCAAGCCACTACAGAAAACCCTTATTTGAAAGATGTATTAAGGTTCATACAGCATCCATCAGGTCTTAATAAGGGAATTATAAGTTTAATACAGCAACTGTCCCCTTTCACCTTCAGTCTATCTGCATTGCTCTGCCTTATTGCTTTAGTGATCCAGACATGTGAACAACCACACCATTTGGTGGAAATTAGAGCCCAGAGACTGTTATGCAGAGAGTGCTCCATCTACTAGCATATCTAATTGTCCATTATAGGTGACAAAATTACCATCACAATGGCTTTAATGCAGAACGTGCTTGGGAGAGCAGTTTCAGACATTTTTTTGATTGGCATAGCCAAACGCCCCCTCGTTAAAAATCATCAGCATACTAACAAGGGTATAAAATGGTCTCCTCCATGGAAATCATTCTGATAAACAAGACATTTTTTTCCACCATGCTCCATTATTTTAGTTCGCCTCTGCCTGGCGTCTTGAAAATTGCAGATGATGGGGCTTGGACAGGCAAAAAGAAAGACAAGGTGGTGATATATCATGAGTGGTCAGAGAAATTGACTGGACCTTATTTTGCTTCATGACCTTGTTTTCAAGAAGAAATAGAGACTTCATTTTCAACTCAGAGACCTGCATCTCTTTAAGGCACCATTTTCATTTTCATTCTTTGCTGAATCGCTCATCATAAGACACCTCTGATTTACCTCAGATCTCTCAAATCCTTCCCATCACTGCCCTTTCCTAAGCCCTCCTGCTGAGTTCATCATATTAGACCTTATAACCCCCTCCTCAAACTCTGTTCTACTCTTTCAGAGTAATAAGTATCTGCTCCTTCACAGTAAATATAGCCTCCCATCTCTCTGTTTAACTTTCTGCCTCTTCCCTTTCCTGTTTATGTTCACTCACTGTGCATTAGCTTTCTTCTCTGATCTATTCCTTTTCACGATAATGATACGTCTCATTAACACAGCCTCCTGCCCTGAGCAGTCCAGCCTCCCTCCAGGGGACACCAGGGGAAAGGAGACAGGGAGAGATACAAGGCAACTAAGTGATGCTGAGGTGCTACATTTTGGATTTGTACAATTCACCTCAATGGACGTCCATTTACAGAAGCATATTCTAAGAACATGCCACTTCCTATGGAAACCTAAATGATAGCCTGGTGTTATTTTCATAGTTTAAGAGATTGAGGTTGTGTTCCATTCACACCGCTTGTTGTGTAGCAGCAAGGGTGGGGAAACGTAATTAAAGGGAGTGCAGCCGGGACAGGGGGCGGTGATATGATGCTGATCATCAGCTGATAATGGCCATTCCAGAAAACAGGCAATTCTTTCATATTAAGCAATATAATGTCTCTGCTTTTGAACACAAAGTGAACAGCCTACATCACTGACTAGAAACTGCCCTAAAGAGCCCAGAAACCATGACACCATTTTAATATCAAATAGTTTCAATTTAATTCAATCATACACAATCTAGATCAAGGAGTGAATTTTCAAGCTTGCATTATTCAGACATCCTATCTGCACAATTTCTGATTCATAATGAAAAGTTGTGGGCTACTGGGAGGACTCAGTGCCCACACTTTCCAACCACAAACAGGTTGCTGTTCAACATGTGGTATTTTGTTGATGTGTCACTAATTGCCGTGGCTTTGGGTTGCCACAAGCGGCATGTGCCATTTCATGTACCAAATTTAAATGGAACAGAAACCACACCTATCTGGCACAAGCCAGAAGTGTGCCGGTCAGGTTTTCAAACAAACCCAATGATTGAGCCATTTCTGTTGATCATACCTTTAAGGTCATCAGATTAAACTGCTGGGATCTGGGTACACTCTGTCATGAAGACTCTGACCAGACAAAACCTAAATTACGAGTATACTGGCCCATGAACAAACAACAACAGTGTAGAGGTTTATACTGTACAAAAGCTATGCAAATAAAACTCACATTGTACCGACACTCCAGCTCCCTCTGCACACCTGGGAACCAAGTTTTTTTTTCCCCTAGTACTTCAGTGGCTTCACTGTACTGTAGGCTTCATTAACACGTCAGTCATTTTTTGCCTCATGCAATATGACAGGTTAATGAGAAAGACAGAACAGTGGAGAAAGACTAGTTAATAGTCCCCTGAAGTGAAGGTGCCTCCTACTGCACTATAATTGGTATGAGTTGAACTTTTTGCAATACTGTGAATTCTACTTTATTCCCAATCCTTCATACCAGTTTTTACAAAGCTGCCTTTGGGGACAATAAAAGTACTGAACTGAATCAGTTCTTACTTGTCCTTTTCTTGAAAGCACCACTGTAGTCAATTAATTCACTGAAATCTGTGTTCTCCAGAGTGTGTCTGCTCCTGGTTGAGTGGTTTGAAACACCCCACGAGATTAGAGCCAGAGTCCTCAACAGATAAATTCTGACAGAATAATATGGAACAAGTTAATCCATCAGATATGGAAAAAAAAACAAAAAAAAAACACCTGTTTACCTTATGCATGCTTTTCTTCTGTTTTGTCACATACTGACCTTAGGAGTATGCACTCACCAAAGGTGAAAACTGACAGAGCAGATTACATGACAAGCTCGTCTGGAACATAGAGAGACACACATTCCAACTCACTACTGAAAGGGAAATACTGCTTTAATGATGCTACAATCAAACCACAGTACATGACCGTGTTTACAGCACCCACTGGGTGAACTGAAACAGGTTGTTCGTGTAGCTGAGAGGTGAGCCAAGGCTGCAGTTGTTCTGGATGAAATGGGATTTTTCTTGTCGGTTCCAGGTCATTTGTCCATGCCCAAGGCTGTCGATGATGACTGGTCTGATAAAAACGACAACAGCCACTGGGGGAGAATTATGGTTTTTCTTGGTGGCTAAATAAAATGAAGTCTCCCTTTCACTAATACAGTCTTATACACATTGGCTTAGATGTGCTGCAAAATATTAGTTCATAAAAAGTTCAATACGAGTTTTAATTAAAAATAGCTCCTAATTTAGTGCATGGTTCTGGAAAAGGAATTCCACACAATGGCAGTGTGTATTTTTCACATTTCACATTTGCAGCACCATGGAACTGGAATTTTATTTCTGACCAAGTTGATAAATGAGCATGCTAACAAATGAATGGCACAGTAAACAAATGGGCAAAAACCTCAAGTATGAACCTGCTACTAAAATATGAAACTTGCTGCTGGTCAGTTTTCACAGTGGAAGTCATTTATGTTCATCAGAAATGCCAACCAGCGTCGCCTGCTGGATTCATCACTCACTGCTTCATTTACCTCTCAGGTCACCATTAAGGTTTAAAAAATTGATTCTATTTCACGCTGTTCAACTTGTGGCATACAGAAGAGTGCTTTATTTATTTATTATTTGTTTAAATAGCTTGTTAGCTATGCTTCTGTCCCATCAATGCATCTTACCTGGATGCCAGAACAGAACCATGAATGTATTATTTGTCCTTAATATACCCATTAACAGAACAGGCAGAGATGTAGTACATCCATGAGAACAGGTGCCGCCTTTTTGAGACGGGGGGTGGTTTCAGTGCCTACACCTGACACATCTCCAGTGTTGTAGAGCAGAGAATATGCTTTGTTGTTTCATGAATATGAAACCTCAGTCTCATCCAAGACAGGGACTAGTTGACCTACAGACGGGGGGGGTTGAACAGCTGGCCCTGTGGCACAGTCACAACAACTAAGAGCTGAACAGGCTCAAAACAGTGGAAATGAACGTGGACTTCAGAAGAAACTCCCCCCCCCTCAACCACACTCAGCAGCACTGTATCAGCAGAAGAGTCCTTCAAGTTCCTGGGCTCCACTATCTTCCAGGACCTGAAGTGGCCATCCAACACTAGCACTGTCATCAAGAAGGCACAACAGAGGATGTGCTTCCTGAACCAGTTCAAGAAGTTCAACCTGCCCCAGGAGTTGTTGATACAGTTCTACAGAGGAATCATCGAGTCTGTTCTCTGCACCTCCATCACTGTCTGGTTTGGCTCAGCAACCAAACAGGACAAGTACAGACTTCAGCGAACAGTGAGGACTGCAGAAAAAGTCATTGGTGTGAGCCTGCCCTCCTGTACACCTCACGGGTCCCAAAGAGGGCAGAGAAGATTTCTGCAGACCCCTCACACCCTGGATGCAAACAGTTTGAACTCCTCCCCTCTGGACGGGGCTACAGGTCACTGTGCGCCAAGACAGACACGAGGAAACTTTCTTCCCTGAGCCATCACTGTGATTAACACTTGACCCATGACTGTATGACAGAACGACTTATATTCCTAATGCACATTCCTTTATCTTGTTTACTCATTGCCTCACAGAAGAGTGTCGCACATATGCACTGCGAGCATTCAAAGCTGATTCTGACATTCTAATTTATACTTGATTTTTTTCTCTTTCAAATTTGGCTGGGTGGTTAATAACACATTTTCCTGTGGTGTGACTCAGAATACATATTTTCTCTGTTTTACCCAAACTTTAAAATACAGAGCAACAGACCTGAATTTGATCACCACCTTC